TACAAACAGTCTATTCTATATCTATTTTGCAATAAGTCAACATTTACTTTGATAAAATAGGGTTGTGATAGCCTATTTTTTTCATATTTTTCAAAGGAAATGGCTTTAGCATGTCCTATCAGCAGAAAACAGAAATAAAACAGACTATTTGATCACTATTTTACTGATGTAGAAAATAAAATATGATTAAAATAGTCTGTTTAGCTGGTTATTTTTCCGTTCATTTTAAGAAAAAAAAAAATACACCACCTTGTTCAACCTTGCCTTAAAATATGGTTAAAATAGTGGGTCTATTTTCCCTTTCAGGTAAAATAGGAATAAAATATAAGTGTGAGAAAGTAAAATTGTATAAAAATAGAGGTGATAGCATTAAAATAGACTTTAAATAGAAATAAAATAGGTTTGTTTTTGTAAGGGATAGCACCTCTGATTGGTCAGCTGTTTTTACTTTGCCACGATCTGCGTTTTCCCTGATGAGTTTGGTGAGCTTGTCAAAATAGTTCCATTTATTACAACACTATTTGTTTAATTTGGTATGGAATCAGATGAATCCATTGATGTAGTATATTCTGAGGCAGTAAATGCTTATGTTTCAATTCAGTTGCTGAAGATGAAATTGACAATATCGTCAATCCATTCTTTACATGGTTCACAATCCTTAAGTTGGGCTGCATGTCAAGGAAAGCGTGATATTTTCTTAAGTAAATCACTTTGGTTAAAGAAACAAAACAAGGCTGATAAATAACTTGGGAGAAAAATTAACTTGTTATTCTTGTTAAAAGTTAGCCACAACGGTATCATGTCTTGATGGTACTGCCAATGTAAACTAGCAGTGTTCATTCCATTCTACTGGTAACTAAACAATTTGTGACAAGCAAATTGCCTTGTTAAAAATGTGCACTTACTTGATGGAGACACTTGCTCACTTTTTTTGCCATGTGCCAAATATCAATTAAGTGAGTGAGATAGTTCCAACAGCTGCAGGTATTTCTCTAAAAACATAACCAGACATGGCTACTGACAGGTGATCAACTGTTGGCCAAAACTTTGGCCTGAAACATAACAAAAACTGTTGTTTGACAGTTGGTCGACAGTCTGACATTGTTGGCTGTCTATCAGCCAACTGTCAACTGACAGACAGCCAACAGTTGCCCAACTGTTAGCCAACTGTTGGCCAACAATATCTTTTGGGAACGGTTCTTCTCTTTTACGCTAACATCTGATGATGTTCATAACAATTACCCAAAGCAATTTCAAGCAACCATTATTGAGAAGTACACGTTTAAGGTTCGTACCGCTATGAAAAAGATTCAGGTAACCTTTCACAAAAGCACAAATTAAGAACTTTGGTGATCAGGTCAAACAGTTTTCCTTGACTAATTCATCTCAAAATAATGATTGTAGCCCTTATTACAACAGTATACAGTTTATATTTGTGAAATCAAGTCTTGGCAACATGGTATGCAGTAATGTGAGTTATGGGCATATACAGGTATGTGTACAGCTGGCTGAAATTAAGAGTGAGGTGTTGCCATGGAAATACAGTTAAGTGATAAAATCTTTAAACAGCGATTGGGCATTTTAATGATCAATCAAAATTTATAATGTGAAAAAAAGGACCCAAAATACCAACACGTTCCAGTCATGTTTAACTTTGGTGTTAATCAATACATTTACACAAGGCAATGTTACAAGCAATCACAGTGTTTAATGATCGAGGTCTACTCTTTCTTTTTGGCCGGCAATTAAGCACTTTGAGTGGCACCCAATGTTTGAGTGTATATTAGCATATAATAATTTGGATCCTGGTATATTAGCCTAAGGTTTACTTGGTTAGTTTGTTAGTGCATTTCCTCTTACAAGGGCACTGGTTTTTTTTTTTTTTTTTTTGCTCCTGAAGTCAATGCTTAAATCCATGGTGAGTATAGAATATATTTGGCAACTGAATTTTGGACGAAAGAAAGTCATCAATTGGAGACCAGATTAAAAAAGGACAAAAAAATTGAAACATTTTTTGGTCTATGGAACAAAGAACAAATGCCAGTTTCTCCTGTTTTTCTCCTTTTTTATTCTTTCAGTCACACACAAAAAATCTTGAAAAAATTTACCAATTTTTTTCAAGTTCAGTCTTTGGAACTGGTTGTGAGGTTCTATTGTTCTCTATCTTTGCCAACCATGAATGATTCTTTTCAAACAATATAACTTTTTCTGAAAGTAGAATCTGTAGCATGTTTTGTTCTCTCAGTTCTTCAACAATTTTGCTGAATGAGACTATGTTTAGACTTTTGTTCAAGTGTGCTATCCCTGGCTTAATTGCCTCCATTGCAGATGATGGGGAGTATACATATGGGGAATCCACTAGAACTACCTTTAATGGAGAAATCAGCCTTAAAACCACTAAACAACACTAGGCAGTCTTTGTGAGCTGACACTAATTACAGAGGTAGCAATACTGTTTGCAATGTTTTTTATTTCAATCAGCAGGAGTGATCAGCTTTAAAAATCACTTAACAACACTAAGCTCTCTTTGTAAGCTGACAGTAAAGACAAAAGTAGCAACACTGTTCACAGTGATTTTTATTTCAATAGTGATTTCTTGGCTCGATCACTGGAAAGGTGAGGTCTAAGTCTATTTCAAGCTGTTTCTCTGAAATGTATCTTTCGATTCAACACTAAGTTACATCTTTCTTGCTAAAATGTGTCAGGTGTTTAGTGCATGAAGTTGAAGGTTACTGAGAAATTTGTAGAAGAAACTAGGCACAAAGCACAACAAAAAACCGGCATCATTCTTGGATAATGTGAGTTCTGTTACAAAGTGATGAGCCTAGTAATTTTAGAAATTTGTTTTGAATTTTTTACTTAAGTTATCTGGATGGTTTTTGTTTTGTTAGTATGAGCATGAGTTAAGATAATTTTAAGTGATTAAAATATAATCTCCAATGTACATAACATAATTTTGTTAGTTGTTTTCTTTGTGTGGTAAACTACAAGACATACATTTGCAGCTCAAATCCTGTGACACAATGTGCAATTTCATTTGAACAAGCCACTTTATTTTTATAAAAGGTAGCTGTCACAGGAGAAAAATTCCTTTTGTGTGCCAGAATTAATACTTTGGGATGTATCTACCAAGCTACATGTGCAGCACTGCTGTGATGCAGTCACACACAAGCTTTTCAAACAAAGAGGCTAGACATGAAATCTGTAATATGAGTGATTATTATCCAACTACACCTAAACGAGTACAAATAACGCCATAGACGAGTACAAATATCACGTGGTATTTGTACTCGTCTATTGTAGTACCGGTTAAACAGGTTTTCTCGCATTGCGCAAGCGAAGAATTGGATTGTAGTTACGAAAAAAAAAAAGTGGAAATATTTTTGAGTAGGTGTAGCTTGCCAATAGGGCTAATGGTGGCAACATTCACTAAACAACTCCTGTTAATCTGTTTACAAGATCAGTATATGAGGCTACCAAAATGAGGAGGAAAGAGAAGAGCTTGAACTAATAAAAGGCACAAGTTTAGAGTCATGATGTAATTTACATACATAAATTATTAGTACAGGAAATTAAACTAGCCATGAGTTTTAAGGCATTGTCACTTTATACATGTTTGTTCATATGCAACACAGCTTGTAGCCACATTGATCAAGACTTTATTAATTCAGATTGTATGCGCCGGGCCCTGAGCATAGTTCTTATAAATGCCTTGTGAAGAGTGCTTTCTTTCAATGAAATTACTCCAAAACAGCTGTGGAAAGTAAATTAACACCGCAAGTGAAAATCTTACTGTTGTTATATAGAATTTGTTCAACTTCAGGATCCACTACTTAAATTAGCCATAATTAGAGGCTCATTTCTTCAAGTTGGTCAATCACTTAACCGTTGTATTGTAAGCAGTTTTCATGCTCTTCGAACTGTACACTTACAGGAAGGTTGAAATCTAAGATTAAAATAATTCATGAATTAATTTGATGAAATTTGATACGTTCCTATGTGCATGCCCAACTGTGACATTGGTCCTTTAAACACTAATTTTCACCTTTAATTGGTCACACTCACCTTTACTACAGCTTGTTTGAATTGTCTTCTACCTGTTTTGAACAGTCACTTAAAGTGGAACCATTCAAGCTGAGAAAAAGCTTTCAAGCATATTTAATCCATGTGTGTCTCCCATGTACACGTTTTTGTATATTAAGTTCAAATGAGGTTTTTCTTTCTTTTTTAATTTGGAGGTTGCCAAATGGCAACTTTAATCAAAATTTTTTTCACAAAATATATTCTATTTGTCATGGCTCTGGCTTAGGCCCCGTGGGTGGATTTTTTTCTTTACTTATGTGCCATATGGGCATGGCGCATGGCCTTCCCAATCCTTGTTTCATTGTATAAAAACTTCAATTGCTTGACTGTTATATTTACTATGTCATTCTTATTTCTGCAGGTCATTTTCTACAATATATAATTGAAGAGATATCAGACCTGCTATCAAAATCAGAGATTGAGAGAATTAAGAATCTTGTTACACCAATAGTGGATCTCGACAGACTAGCCAGGATTAGGAAAGGTTCTGAATTATTTAAAGAATTGGAATGCAAAGGAGAATTATCATGTTCTTTTGTTAAATGTCTTTTGGAAAAAATCCATCGTTCTGACCTTGCTGAGAAACTTGGTACTCCTTTTCACAACAGTGATAAATTATTTAAAAGAGAGTGCTCTTCACCTCAGGAAAGAAATCAGGGGTATGAAGCATCTGAAAGAATTTGTGGTGTAGATGATATAACTTCAAATGAAGTGGAAGAATGTGGAGAAATTTCTAAGAGTGCTGCAGATATTGATAAAGAGTTCCATGTTGGCAACACTTTTGGGGGAAACTTTTGTGACAGTGATGCTAGCACAAGTTTCTCTCCTTATCCATGTAATCCAAATAACTCAAGTTCTTTGTTAGATATTAATTATGCTGATTCATCAAGTGGAAGGTGGGGTTTGGCTTCAAACTGTTCACAGACTACATCCAGCTCTGCTGTGTATGTGGAATCTTTGACTGAGGATTCACTCTGTGGTGCTCCAACAATCAGCTTAAATTCTGATCGTAATGCTATGAAGGCAAGGGATAATTCTGCTGAAAGTACATTTGATACCACAAGTGGTGGAGACGAGAAGCATGAAAGGTCTGTGTCTTTATCACTGACGGAAGAAAGTTTTGAAAGTGGAGAAGTGAAAGGATGGAGTGCTGCTAAGGCAGAAGGGGGAAAAGAAGACTTGAATAGCTCCAATAGCATCTGTGATGGTGCTGTAAATGGATCCTATTTGATTCAGCGCTGTAATACTGTGGACGTTGGTGGTGGTCCTGGTTGTACTTCAAGTAGAGCCCAAGATAGTTTAAAGCTAAAAAATGTATCTGGTGTTCGTCAAGATTCTCTCTCACCTGAAAGCATGCCTCAAAAGCAAAAGATATCACATGCAACAAGCTCTGCTCAAAAAGGTGCGGTCCATGTTCTGTCTGATTATTGTGCAAGCAATCAGTTTAATACATGGGAGCATGTAGGGGCTAGACCGAAGAATGCAACTCAGATGCAAAATGTTTCATATACAAGGATCACTCCTCAAAAAGACTCAGCTGTAGATCAGGCTGATTCTTATGTGAGCAATCAGTCACATGAATGGGAGCATTTAGGGGCCAGACCAAGAGACAGAACCCCAAAAACGGACAGTACTTCAGATTCTTCTTCACTTTTCTCCTCATTGGTTGACCTGGTTCCCCAACAAGTTGGAGGACCTGTGGTCCAGGGAGTGGTCAACGCATTCTTGGCAAGACACTCTGAAGACAAACATCTTCATGAAAGTCTGTATTACAACAATGCAGAGGAGATGTTGGCTAAGGATATGGATAGCATGATGAACATGATTGACCCCAACAAAGCAAAACCATACCTTGGTGACTGCCAGGTTGCTACAAGGTCAGATTCATTTTACCAACCATATTCTTCCGGTTTTCCTCTGAATAGGGAAGCATATAACAGAACAAATGGTGAAGATGGCCTCCCTTTAAGAGATGCTTTTAATGGTAATTATTTACTTCCACCTGGAGCCTCGCACAGCTGTATTGGAGCTAATACAAGCCAAAACAGTTCTTTCAACTCATTCAATCCTAACTTCTTAGATGGAGACTTTGCACTTGATGCAAGAGAGCCTCAACCACTCCAAGATGGGCGTTTTACATCTCTGCAAAGGAGTCATTTTCTACAGTCAGGGCTCACTGGTTCAGGATTGACCTCTGGCTTTCTGGGAACTACAGGACCTCAAGTGGCGCATTCTGTAATCGCTACACAGAGTTATATTGGCTTTACTGGAACAATGTCAATTTTGCCTGCAGAGTGTTTGCAAGTGCAAACACTGTCAACCACAAACTTAGGATTTTTGGCAAGTTCAACAGGCAATGCTCAAATCTATGGTAACCAATTAAATGGTTCAACAGATTGTCCAAATTCATCATTAGTGGCAAGGGCTAATGGATCTGACCGCAGACTTCTACCATGGTTGGAATCTAGTAGGAATACTAATTTGTCACCAATCTCTTCAGCAAAGGACAGTGTGAATACATCTGGACACAAGAACTCAAACAGCCCATCAAACACAATTGGAAATCATTTGGGCTCTGGAACATTCAGAGAAGGAGACAGAGCTGGTAATTCTTTAAGCTCTGGCTTAACATCTGGTGCTAATAGAGGAGTGGATCATGAAGTGGTAAGTGAAGACTTGTACAATTTAGACCATTATTATTACACACAGCCTTACTCTTCTTTAACTTCTGTGAAAATTCATTGCATACCACATACGCTGCACTCTAATCCATAAACATCAAGTGATAAAGAAATTATTGCTTGCTATATGTATGATTTCCAACAAGAAGTTGCCAAATTTGCAACTTTGGTGACAAATTTGGCGGTCCTTTGTTTCTCCGCAAGGTCTCTGACCTGACTACTCTTCATGTTTGTCCTAATCTCTCCAAAGGGCAACGGTGGTTTGGATAGGAAGGTTTGCAGCATAGTAGTAGCGAAAGGTTTAGATGTTAATCATTATCCGACACGAAATTCGGCTTCAGCCCGGCAGTATGTACGAGTTGCAGTCCTCCCGCCTACTTTGAAATGCTTGGCCGGTTTGAGGCTTGCTAACATCACTCTTTGTGCAAGCTACTTAGTGCTCTTAGCAGGCGACACTCAGCAGAATCCAGGACCAGCGAAGAATTATTCTTGCTCGAAAGGACGCTGGAACGAAACCTGTGCCGGACAAACGGTTACATGCGGCTCGTGCACAAAAGCTGTGAAGAGAAATCAAAGCAGGGCGTCGTGCTCGTTATGCCTCAAGATCTTTCATTTAAGATGCTATGGCTCGGATGTCGGTGAATCTCTTTGCAATTCATGCTACCTTTCCAACAGCGACTGGCAAGTTAATTTTGATCAAACGCGACAGGAAGATTCTCAACGGTATGATATCCCCGATCTTCGTGAAAATTCTTAGAAGAAAGGTCTTAAAATTCTGCACCAAAACATCAGAGGCCTGTTATTAAATAAACGTAACATCTGTCAAATCTTGGATGGCTTTAAGAATCTACATATTTTCTCGCTTAGTGAAACTCATCTCTCTGCCGACGACGAGGTTGAAGCACAAAT